TACTTAAAGTCATGATATTGTTATTAACGATGTTGTTTAATTAAGTACTGGTCTTTGCGGAGCATAGTGGTTTTGCTCACGCCTCCATTACGTTTTTCAGATGACGGAGCGACGTGTGGCGCATGAGATTTTAGCGGTGGTCGTGGTCATTTCTTTTGTAACGTATTTACATGTCATTCATTGAACATGTATTATTATTATGCGTAGACATATTATGTTTCAGCTTCCGCACATTTCAGACTTAATATGTATTCTGAGATTATCAGATCTATGCATGTTTAATGCCTTTATCTCTGAGGTACCTATATATAACGTATTTGATTAGATTGCATGTATTTATTTACGTCTGCATGAGAAAGAGTTTTAAGTTAGTAGCATCCCGCGAGTTAGTATGAGTATTTTCGAAAATAAAGTTAAAGAGTTTTTTGTAAATAAGAAGCAAAAATTTTACTCTGATTTTATTATTTCTAGAATAAGTAGGCGGGGTGTTACAACGGATTCGATCAACGGTCAAAATAATAAGTAATGGAAATACCGAATGGAAAATAAAGCGGGAATACAGTCTAATTATGATTTTATTAGAAGATCACTAGGTCGACCTCTCATACGGGGTCGACATTTGTGATACACTTACAATTCTTGCAAGAGATTTATTACAATTTTTAGGGAGAGAAAATATATTGTTAGCTTATAAGTTATGGATTCAAAAACCCCTAAATAAATGAGGTGATAGACTATTTATAATGTCATTTAATGCCACTATTCCAGCACTGTTCACCGTCTCTTCGTACAGTAATTCTGCAGTCCTGGTCGGCCCTCTCCTGACAGATCATTAAATGCGATTTGAGGTTCCCCAATCATTGCTAGCTAGGCATTTAATGCTCACATGGGCAGCATTAAATGTTGTCAGCTTCTTTTGCTGGGATAGATCCTCTAGGGTGGTAGGCTAGGTCGGCCCGTCCCATCAGCAATCATTAACCAGCTAGTGGTAGTATTATATTGCTTCTGTGTTCGGCTCTGGTTCTTGGGTCATCCTTTTTTAGACCCTCAGGTCGGCACTCAGACGAGAAACCTTTCTTAGAGCTCCAGGATTCAGTAGCCTGGTCGGCACTTTGATGGGTCGGCACCCCAAAAGGGATGCCGGTAAGTGCCGGTCGCGACAAATTAGTGGAACATCGCCTCGAACGACTTCTGTCTTTATCCAGCTCTGCACCCACCTTCGATTCTCTTCCCGGTCCTGACCCTGGGGGCGGCTCTTCCTAGTTTTAACGATCGAACCGGTTATCTCTGGTCGGGCCGACCCAGATATCAACATACCTCCTCAAAACCAGACTCATTGACCAAAGGAGAATGTTTGTCCCATTTTTGTTATCTTTTTCTTTGTTTATTTGTTAATTTGTCCCCCGAGTTTAGGTTTTTATTAGTCATTTTGGTCCATCAGTCGTTCTTTTCGCTTGTTAGTCGTTTATTTCTCGTTTTCGATATTTTCTGCTGTTTTGCTTGTTTTTGTATGTTGTTCTTTTATCTTAGGTGGTGTGCAAATCAGACTCTTCATCTCACATTTGGAGCTATTCGAGTAACCGAGCATTAAAGTGCAGATTTTCAGTCCCAATTACCAGTTCTCGCGCCGCAGCGTCCCTCGCGTCGCGGCAGAATTCCCTCGCGAGACTCCCGTGCCGCGACAGAGCATCAGAGAGTCCAGCCCCTCCAGGTGACGCGCCGTGTCATCCGTCGCGCCGCGATGCATTACCCTGTCACGCCGTGCCTCATCCATCGCGCCGCGATGCACCACTCTGCCGCGCCGTGCCTTACCCGTCGCGCCGCGAAGCGCCCCTTTGCCGCGCCGTGCTGACTCTTTGCGGCGCGGTGCTGATAATTCAAACGCAGATCTGACGACGGGCTATTTTTTTATGTTTTTGGCCGAGGGCATTAGGGAGGGGGTACTTTGTTATTTTTGAACGGTCTCTCTCGACAAACACAGTTTTTCTCTCTTATTTTTCCTCTCCTTGGTTTTAGATTTGATCTTGAAGGTGAAAAACCTCAAGATTTTGTTTTCGGATTTAGCTTTCGGATTTGGATTGCTCTTGTTTTCGACATTGGTTTTCTTATCAATCATAAGCATCTTTTCTCATTTAATTATGATGTTTTGTGCTTGGACTGCTATGTATTCTTATGTTAAAATCGCAATGAGTACCTAAATTCGATTACTAGGGTTAGAGGATAATTGTTCCGGTTCAATTTCATTTATGTGAATGTTGATTGCTCGATCTGGATGAGTTAGGCTAAACCTAGG